ATTCCTGAGTCCTCAAGTACTGATACGTCAGATTTCCAAAGCGATTTAACTATATGTCAAGGACAGCATGAACAGCATCTTCTAACACAGGAAAAATTGAATGATTGGGTGAGAGACTTGGAGCTTTCAAAGGAGAAAGCAGAATTACATACATCTCGTATGAAGCAATATCACGTTTTGGATACGAGTGTTAAAGTAACATATTACAGAGACCGTGACAGGCCTTACACAAAGTATTATACGTAAACTGATAACATATGCTTTTGCAAAGACATTCCCGGTTTGTTCGAGGAGCTTGGCCAGCCTTATAATGCACACGAGTGGCGGTTATTTATTTATAGCAATAAAAGTAGTTTGAAAGGAGTTCTCTTGCATAATGGAAATGAGAAACCATCAATTCCGATCGCGCATGCTGTAAATACCAAAGAATCGTACGAAACAATGGTTAAACTATTAAAATCTCTTAATTATGAAGACCATGAATGGAAAGTTTGTGCCGATTTAAAAGTCACAGGCATGTTGTGTGGATTACAAAGCAGCTACACGAAATATTGTTGTTTCCTTTGTCTTTGGGACAGCCTCGAAAGGGAACACCATTATAAGAGGAAGCAATGGTCTGAAAGAAAAAACCACACCTTGGGCAAGGGCAACATTAAATACTTGCCTCTTATTAAAAAAGAAAATATCCTTCTACCACCATTACATATTAAACTTGGACTCTTCAAGAATTTTGTGAAAGCGCTGGATATAGAAGGCCAAGCGTTTGCTTATTTAAGAACCTTATTTGAAAATCTTTCATTCGCAAAAATCAAGAAAGGTGTTTTCAACGGTCCACAAATAACAAAACTTTTAAAAGATGACAAATTTCAAAGCTATTTATCATCCGTTGAAGCTGCACCTTGGAATTCGTTTCAATTAATTGTTTCTGATTTTGTTGGAAACAATAAAAGCCTGAATTACGAGACAATTTGCTTCAGAATTATGCAAAAATGGGTATGGATCATTAGTATTATTACTCCGGATATCCGTAAAGTACCGGCATCCCAGCAGGTTCCGAGTTAAGAGACATTTAGATTCAGAATAAAAAAACAATGAAGGAATGACACGTTTTTTATTCTAAATTTAATTTCGATGTACATTTCAAAAGCTACGGGGATGCAGGCAGCTTACAAATACACGTTATTATTAAATTCATTTTTTACAGTCACACTTAAATTTCTTCCCGGAGAATCTTGGTGACGTAAGTGACGAACATGGCGAAAGGTTCCACCAACAAATGAAGAACATTGAGCGGCGTTATCAGGGAATTTGGGATGCAAGAACGATGGGAGACTATATCTGGTTCCTCATAAGAGAGACGGATTCTCAAAGAAACACAAGTTATTTCAGGGCAAAGTTATTTCTGAGAATTGTGCATACTATTTTATTAGTACCTAAATGTTACAATCAAAATAAACTGAATGAATCACTGTATTTCGTTTTTTGGGAAAATTACAGAAATAGAAAAAGCTGGACGTTGGCTTTGGTCGTAAATACTGTCTTCCTATTGTAAAAGTACAAACTGTATGTAAAAAATAAGACGGAATTTTTGCGGTTGTCTTTTTGCGAGTGAATTTTGGATTGTAATTTTTGATTAAACAAAACTGTTTTTCAATTCAAATATCAAACCAAACTACATAAGAAAAATACAGTGGAGATCAAACGAAGAAAGGAAAGATATTACGTAGAGTTAGGCAAGGCTGTATTCTCTCACTGTTAATATTCAATAATGTCTGGAAACCAGAGTAGAGCTACTTGCAGAGAAAATGTACTGCAAGTAAAGTATTCAGTACTTTTTTACTGCCAGTATTTTCAAATTTGTAGGTACCTAATACTTGCACTTTGAGTATTTAGCTTAAAATGTACTGGATACGTGTTACTTGCTTGGCATAAGAAGTACCTGAGGAACTATTTGTTTACTCCAAATAGTATATCTACTTCCCGTACTTTCAATAGTAAGTAAAATAACAATTTTTTAAGGTTTTTTTATACCTAACATTTATCATCATACGTATATTAGTTATATACTTAACAGTGATAGTTTATACTTTATCATTAACCATTTAACCATTCAATATTCACCATTCGATTCATTCCTAATTCCCATCCCATCTCTTTACTATTTCAAAATTTAAATTATGTAAAATAATTCGCAGTTTGTATTTTTGACGTTTCAATAAGTTGTGATAGTTGCGGTCAGATAAACATGTTTAATCTTGTAAGGTATTGACGACTGGCTGGCGCAGCGTCGACGCGAGTCGGTTATTTCAAGTTAGTGAAGCTCATAGTGGTGAGTACAGGCTGTGCAGGTCCCATAGATCTCCAGATTCTCCCAGATCCCATAGAACAATTGTGTGGTTTACTTACCTTACTTCACACAATTTCAAATGCTTCGAAAGTACCGTGCTAATACGGTGCAGCGAAGCATAAAGTTTGGTTGGTTGGTATATTAATTATACATTATACTTTTTTGGTTTTACAGAACCACTACATTTATTTAATGCAAGTAATTTATGTACTGGAAGTAGTTTTAAGCTATTTAGAGTACATTTATTTACTCTAAATAACTAAAATAATTGGAGTTCTTAAACGAGTAATTACTTTGTACTGGGTATTTGAAATTTTAGTTTCAAGTAAAATTACTTATTACTTCAAGTACTTTTTAAAAATACTTGTTACTTATTACTTGGAGTAAAAATAATTTAAAGTGCTACTTGTACTGGTTACTGAGAGTACTTTTCCTTTGTACTTGTAACAGCTCTGCTGGAAACCCACTCAGAATTTATGAAAATGCGATGATTACAGTGGGCAAAAAATAGGTTGACAAAGAGGATCTTAGATAGCTGAATGCAGAGGACAAAACCAGTAAGAATCTGATAATGGAGTGGGATCCTGGAAACTATGGGAGGATTTAATATAGAACGATCTTCGAGGTATTCGAGAGTGGGGAAGTACAGTAGAAGATAAATAAGTGTAGAGGCAGAAAATAAAAGAGGTCAAGGCTCAGTTTATGCTGTAGTGCCATATGAACAAGAAGAAGACGTTAATAACAACTGGTACAATTAAGTAAATTTTAAAAATCTTAAAGAAAAAAACTGTACTTAATTCTTTAGTGTTCATTAAAATAACATAGATCTATAATTAAAATTGGCATATTCGAAAAACATTTAACATTTTTTCTAAATACATTATATTGTTCATTAAACTATTTTGTTTGGTCTCTTGACCTGAAAGCTTTATCTACAATTCAATGTAAGAGACGGAGTTGTGACTTGGTGGTGAAAAATATAGCAAAACACCCGCAGATAGATGTTCTCGGTGTGATTACAAGTTTGAAACCTAGAAAAGTCCCTGGTTATCATTTCATCACAGGGAAAATATTGAAGCAAATACCTGATATGGTAATCAAGTTCATTACCTACAGTTTTAATGCCATCCATTGCTTTACAATGGATAATTGCTGAGGAATTATGAGAAATTGTCCAAACTAGAGAACTAATGAACAGGTATATAGACTCGTCAAAACAGCGAGAGATGCATTCGAAAGAAAAAAGTTACTGTACGGCGGTATTCTTGGATATCTCGCAGGATTTCGATAATGTCTGCACCCATCCAAGCAGGAGTCCCACAGGGCAGCGTTTTGGGCCTGACATCATACTTTATATACTGCAAACTATCTTGGTGTCACATGGGGATCCCTAAAGTACTTCTTTCCATCTTCAATAGCATTCATTTAAACTTGCAGAATGGATTAAACAATGGAAAACTACAAAAAGTTACACAGGTCACATTAAACCGAGAGACGTGTCCACAAGTAAGACTAAAAAATATTCCTCTCCTAATTCAAACTGAAACTAAATTCTTATGAATCCATTTCGACAACCATAATTTAACCTGGGGAAAACACATTTGGTCCAAGAGGCTTCTATTGGGACACATATATCGAAAAATTTATTGGTATAGACAAGGCAGTCATACCTTAATGTAGGAATTAAATTGCTTCTGTACCACTTCATCTCAAAACCTATATGGACGTATGGTGTGCACGTCTGAGAGACTATCAGCAAGAGCCATATACAAAAAAATACAACGTTTTCAGTCGAAAGTGCTACGACAAATAGTTAACCATAAGTGAACCATGATGACTTGGACATACCATACCTTACTTGGTTACGGATCATCTCACACCTACACCTACTGGCCCGAAATATGACAGAAGAATTAACATTAATACGTCATGTATATCACAGTATGCTGGGTGGCCATCACTGTGTTACTTTGTCTTTGTTATAATTATTGTTTATTGTTATTTTTGTAACAGATGACCTTAATAAAAGTAATAGAGATAATTAATCATCGCTTTAATAAATTTAGCTATCTCTGGTTCGTAACATAGAAGATACAACTTGAGGTTGTAACTGCGACGCCAAACACTGTTGTCATTAATATCACCATATACTCTTCTAAGCATTTTTCCTTCAAATCTCCTTAGTGCCTCTTGGTCGTTCTGTACTAAGATCCATGTTTCCTACCCATAGGTACTGGTACTATTAACGTTCATTCCTGGTTTATCTTCTCCATCTCCGTTTTCAACCTTGTAAATGTCTGCTTCACCTCGTTATCTGTTCTTCTTATAATATCTATGTCGTTCGAGAATGCGTTGTTGAATATTGTTCCATATGTTCGGAGTCCTGCATCTCTGACTATCCGTCTCCTTGAATTCTTACTTTACAGGAAACCTTCCTGAGTGTAAATGTATCATTACTACCAAATGAGCAGGTATATTGAACTACGACATTGTCTCGAATATTAAGGAGTTTCAATTAAGGAATTGGATTCAAACATTGAACTGATTTAGATTGAAATTAAGTTTTATTAAATTAAATATACATTAACTTTATGCTTTTATTAAGTTAAGGTTTATTTTGTAGAAGTGATACCTGAGTTTTGTAACAGTATAATAACTTTTCATTGTTTATTTGTTTGTTTTCATTGTTTATTTAATACAAATAAAAGGGTGTTTAAGTAAAAACCAAGAAACTTCCCATTGATAGTGGTAAAGGAATGTTGACCATTCCGTGGATATTTTGGAATACAATCGCTGTTCAAAATAAAGAAAGATTAAATAAAAATAACTGTGTAAGATTAGAAACATATTCATGCCTTGGTACAGAAGGGTCTGTAGATGGAGTAGTTCCATCACATTCAAATTCATCGGAACCATCGGCACATTCTTTGGTACCATTGCAACGTGCATTTTTATCTATGCAAGCACCGTAATTGCATTTTAGTAAGAAAGATGGGCAAGGGATATCTTTGCATAGTTTATTTGTTTCATCCGAACCATCTTTACAGTCTTTTCGACCATCGCATGCAAGATAAGCGTTTATGTAATCATTATTTTGGCAATGGAATGTATATTTAAAACTGAAAAGAAAAAGAATTGAAGCATCAGACAAACAAAAAGCTATAAAAAATAAACCATTATAGTAATTTTAAAAGTTGTTTTTACCTGAAAGGTGAAATATTAGTTGAACAAAGGTCTCCATTTTCATCAGAATTATCAGCGCAATCTTTAATCCCATCACACATTTTTTCTCTTGTTATACAAGCTCCGTAACCGCATTTAAATAAATATGGAGGACACCTAAGAAAAATTCTTTGTTAAAAATATACATTTTTCTTTAAATTGATTAACTAACAAAAACGAAGAACAACGATTTTCGGTTTCATCTGAACCGTCCGTGCAATCAGATATGCCATCGCAGATATTTTCCACAAGAATACAGGTTCCATCACCGCAGGAGAATCTTTAATATTAAAAAAGGAAATTACATTAATTTATAGCGAGCATTTGTTCATTTGAGATTTGTGAATTTATTTTAAACGTTTTAAACGGAATATATAAAAGTTGAAGATACATACCCACACTCTTCCCTTTTTGCTCTTTCCAAAGTTGAGTTATAACTTGGAAATCTCCGAAAATTATGGGCCTCCAAAAACGAAATATCTATCAAAATAAAACGATGCAATAAAAATTAATAATTTAGAGTTAATAAAATTTTGCGAAACATCAAAAAAAATACATAATGAAAATTTCCGCAGAGAGAACCAAAACATTAGTGAGGTCTAGGAGACATACAGATGAACCTTGGTTTAGATCATCCTACTTTTTGCAATAAAACTTTTATGAGTACCACAACGAAAATAACAAATCTAACAATAAGAGCAATCTGCGAAGCAACTTGCCATGACAACTTCAATTCTGACAAAGATAAAGAATATTTCTGCTTTGTAACATATTTGAAATGTTATGTTACGTTGCTCCCATAAAAAGGTCATAAAAAATACAAGAATTCAGTTCAACACATCTCCTATTGTGGCCATGCAAATGAAATGCACCTATTTCGCAGTAATGTATTATTTAGTACGATATTATATCTGACCTTTTTGAAAAAAACCCACAAAGTGTGAAGGCAGGAAAGTATAGCCATGCACAGAGAAATACATAGTTATATTTTTGATAGGGGTAGTTGTTGAATGGGTGTTTTTCGAAGACTTTGCAAAATACTTTAGCTGCCATTTTATGTGCTCTCCTTTACAGTTTCTTGTTCTTGTGTAGAATAATGAAACTTCAGAAACTTACCAGAAACACTCAATTTTATTCTCATTTTTAAAGTCTGCAAATATTAGCCGAGATTAGACTTTTAAATTCTTTTTCTGTTCTTTTTAATTTACGACTTTGTCCTGAGAATACTAATATGTGTCTCATTACTTCTACCAAGTAATTGTGGTTTTTGAGTTGAAATGGTCATGCAAAATGTAAAATCTAAACCGCTCCTAGAACTAATAATATTGCCTCGGACATTAGAACTGATCATGATGCCGATGTGGTGAGAGTAAGGAATAAATGATTTTTAAATTGAAAACTACCGAGAAATGTGGCCTAATGGTATATGAAAGAAATAACAAAATAAGTGTCACAATTTTGCAAACAATATCGAAGCTTTGAGATATCTCAACAACTCAGACCATAACACACTTATGATCCCTAAACAGAAAAAAACAAAGAGATAGCTTTTAAGTACCACGGACAAAGAGATACCTTTTATTAAGAACTATAAAACATTGTCCACAATACTTCAAAGCAAGACGAAATAATCATAATGCTTGATGATTGCGATGTGATGAAAATGGTCGCACGTGCGTGCCATTTTCAATAAGGGAGAGTTTTGGAAGACGTTCATACGAATAGGAACATAAAATAAATAATCAAGCCAAAGACTCAGTCAACACACAACACCGCTTCCGAATTAATCAATAATAGTAACAGAATCAAAGTTACCTTTCCGGTAATTGTAGGAGAACTCACGTATGAGTGAATCAACGGGTTCCTGGAATCTGGAAGTATTCTGAAATACACCAACGCAGTGTTAAATTGAATCAGACCGCACAGAGGTAGAGCCACACAATTGCGAGCATTGATATTGAATCTCATCTCCGATAGATTAACAAAAGTTATAACAAATTTTATTCTTAACAATATTGTTCTCTTGTACTTTTGCCCAAAGATCCATTAATATCGAGAAAAATATGAAAATTTTATGAATAGTTGTTGTTGTTAACACTGGGGAATCTAAGCATACTACAAAAAAAATCTTTTAGAACGAAAGTTGTAACACATTTCATTCTTAATAATATTGCTCTCTTGCACTTCTGTTTTTAGATGCGTCAGTATCCAGAAGAATACGAAAATATGAAAATTTGTTGCTGTTTCAAGTTATTAATGATAATACTCATAAATCGGAGCATGTCAAAAAAAAAGTATGACAAAAGTTGTAGCAAATTCCATTGTTAACAATATAGTTTTGAATTTGACGAATTTGTTGCTGCTTCAAGTTATTAATAGTAACACTTGGAACTCGGAGCGTCTCATAAAAAAAACTTTTCGAACAAAAATTGTTACAACTTTTCTTCTTAACAATATTGCTCTCTTTCATTTTTACTCTCAGATGCCTAAATAATAATCGACGTTTTGAAAATCGGTAGATTAAGTCGTAAGATCTACCGATAAATCGGTTGGGTTGGGAACGTTGTGGACAGGAACGAATACAACGACAAGATGACAAGCCTTTTGGACCTAGCTAACTACAAGAAAATGAAGAAGATCCCAACCGAGAAGATAAGAAGCAAATGAAAGAATTGGTGAAATCTACAGAAATTCCTGCAGAACAATAGAGAAGTTTGTTGTACACGTCTTATCACCATCAAGATTGATAGTGCCATAAATTCTTCAACGTACCAGTTAACGAAGCACCTTGCCATCTCCTTTTACAGGTTAAACAAAATCATATGTTAGGGATTTCATACATTTTGTGGAATCAATCAAAAATATCAATTTAGATTCACAAAATATCTTGGTTAGTTTCGATGTAGAATCTCTATTTACCAGAGTCCCAGTCGAAGATGCTGTAGATAGTCTTCATCAGAAACTCATTCATGAAGGTTTACCGAACTATGTTCCTGAGCAGGTAAGTCGAAGTACGAGTCCAGAGAGGACTGTTTATCATCGACATATATCAGTACGAAAGGAGAATTCTGTGCGAAATGCAAACGGGGAGCCATGGGATCGCCTTTGCAAATGGCCAATTTTTACATGGACATATTTGAAGAAGAAGTGTTAAGGAAGATTTCGTGGAAACATTCGTTAAGCAGATAACACTTTTGTGATTTGGTAGCATGGAAAAGGGCGTCTCCAGGAGTTCTTAGACAACTTGTAGTCAGCAGTGGAGGAGATCACGGGTATATTGTCGCTGCGTTCAAGTTTCTCTCCCCTCGTCTACTCTCTATTTTGAGATGTTTGGTTTTTCCAAGTGCGACATTTTTTGAGTACTTACTTTTCAACCGTAACTTAAACACAACTTTTTCTGTCTTTTTGTTTTTCGGATCGATTTCAGATCCGCCGTCATCTAGATTCAAAAAAACCTACATACCAACAAAGAGAATAGCTTCTGCAGGATGTTATGGTTAATCCAAGTCCACTTTGTTTGACCTACACGGTGTTCAAATGCTACATCTCGGAGATCATCTATTGATAGTACATTTTTGTAGATGGACATTACACGAAATTCATTATAAACTTCATGATACTCGCTATGACAATCCTCATAAAGTACGTCGGTGGAATTAGATCATCGATCCATATTTTCTGCCATGAATACTAAATGATGAAACCTACAGAAATTTTTGCGACAAAACTTTTCCAGGTCTTTTATAGGACATTCCTTTGCAACAACGTACAACAAAACTTTTTCAACGCCAAGAAGCTCCTACATGTGCTCCATTACGAGTACGAGATATTTAAAATCGTCGGTTTCCTGATAAATGGATTTGGGTGGGTTGGACTTTTATTGTATCCGTCGTAATGGATGACGTTTTTGTCCCGATTCTCGAACCATTAGTAGAAGTACATGAGAACGGATTTCATTCTCTTCCATCACGTGTATACCGAGGGAGAACTTTCCAGATAGGAGCAGATTCCAGAAAGGATAAATTTAATGTGGAAGATGGAAACAAAATTTACATTAACAGAAAATATATAAATGTATTGAAGTTGTCCCATATGAAAAAGTCGCACAGTAATCTTAAGGTAAATTTTTTAAAGTAGTTTATTATTATTATTTTAATTTGTATATAGATTATTAACACGTTACTCAATTAAAAATAACTTACATAGTAAGAAAATAACCAAATTTTTCAATTTTTTGGCACCAACAACACATGCAATTTTATTATACATATTGACGATAGTATCACGACGAGATTTAAAACAAAAAAATATCACACACACCGCACTAAAGCTAGCAGCAGACTAAAATATCAACTAAAAAATATTAATTTATAGTTTCGAATAAGTGTAGTTGTTTTTAACTATGGAAAAACCAGTTAGTGAATTAACATAGTACAAGAAGAACTGGTAAAAGTCATCTTCAATTGATGTCCATCTATTTTAATATGAATAACGATAGAGTTCCTCGAGGCTTTTTTTAGCGAAATTACACGTAATGTAATATGCATATGTAAAATACACAGTCATAATAGAAAAAAATGAAAAATACCTAATGAAGTTGTATTCGATTTGCTATATGATTTTTTTTCCGGTTTTTGCGGTTATTTATTCGCTATTTTACACATAATTAGCAGATTTTGACTTAATTTTTTGATACAAAATAGAAGATTAACATAATTTAGAGTTACTTGTATTTTATTTACAATATAAAAAGAAGTTGACAATTCTTTTACCGTCTTCGATCATCGCCATCTCCCAGATTTTAAGGGTTGGCTTTTAAATTAATAAGTAGACACTGATGGTATATCACAACTTGAAAATGTTGTGTCGTTGGTTTCTTATAAAGAACAGAAAGGTCTTCATTTTACGTCTTTCCAAATTTCAAAAGGTGTTTGTTGAAAAAAATTACAACCATTTCTATTGACGTCAATAAATACTTATATTTTTTTACCATTCAATTTTTTAAATTAAATTAAAAAAAATCTCAGAGATGAATAATCTTAATGATTTGCGTGCAAGAACCGTTACACCCAGAATGTTTTAAATTTGGTGTGTCAGTTCTGCACGCTTACATTCGATTTTTTAAGTATTTGCTTCACATAGCCTACAGACTAGAAATTAAAACTTGGAAGGTAAATAGTTTATGATACATAGCTTTATGTGTAACACATGCCTAAAGATATTTTATGTTCAGATTCCCAAAGCACAAAGAAATAAAGTGGAGGATCGAAAAAGTCCTCCAAAAAAATTATCGGCAGATATTGCAGGTATGTTGCTAGATTATATTGTAAGTGTATAGAAATTAATTAATCGAATTTAATTGAAGGAATTGATGCAGAATTAATCCAGCGATTTGGAGTTATTCTGCGTATTATAAATAGTGGGTGTAACATAAAATAAAATGAGTTTGAAGCATATTGCTTTAATAGCGAAAAGGCTCAAGAGGCGAAAAACAAACAAGTACGAAGATTTAGAGAGTGTCACACAAGAAAATCTACCACATTTTCTTCAAACAAATGAAGATTTATTTAAAAGACTATTACTGAGCTCCGATCCATTTATTACTTTTATAAAGAATGTTCAGAAAGATATAAAAATATGAATGAAGACATGAAAAATTTACTTATATTGGACGAATCTCTAGAAGATAAAGAAGAAGATGATGATGATGAAGAAAGTGAAGAAGAAGACAATAATGATGAAGAAGTAAATATAGAGGAACAAGATCTAGAAAATGAAGAAGACTCACACAAATTGAGATAAATTTTGATATGTTGGTGAACATAACAAAATATTTTATATTATGTCGAATAATTTGAAATGTATGTGGACTATGTCAGTATCATGGGAAAATTCTACTATAAGTAGGCTTCAAACTTACGAATTATGCATGATTGATGAAATTACGAATTATGGTCTCCAACATCATTTCAAATTAAGAGCGATGAGTTTATTCTCGAATAGTTCTTAGAACATTTTTAGTAAAAGCTACGTAAAATTAAGCTATCTAAACAACTGGGCCGATCTTACATGTGTTGGTATAATCAGTGGAATAGTTATTCCCAGAATAATTTATTCTCGGCATTAATTTAACGAATGCGTCCTATTAAGCCTTTCTTATGCCAGAATAGTTATTCCAATGGTTGGTAATACTGTGGGTATAACGCGCAGCGCGCATGTGGTTTGTTTACGTTGTTTACGTTTAGCGACTGTCAAATTGATCAGCGGTGTTTACCATTATTCTGTTTTTATTTTCATTTTACGTCCTTACGAATATGAATATGAACAAAATATTTTTAAGTTGTGGTATTAATAGTTCTACATAGTAACAGTGCTAGTGTTATGTAACATTTGGGTTAGCTGTACGTCTCTTAAGACGGCTAAACCCAAATGTTTCTAGTTCTACGTCTAGTGTTAATTCTAGTTTTACACTAGCACTGTTACCATGTAGAACTAACACTATACCTAGAACTAGAATCATTTGGGTTTAGCCGCACGTCTCTAAAGATGGCTAAACCCGAATGATTCTAGTTTTAGGTATAGTGTTAGTTCTGATGATAGTACTAGTGTAAAACTAGAACTAACACTAGACCTAGAACTAGAAAGTTTTGGGTTTAGCCGTGCGTCTTTAGACGTACGAATGTTTCTAGTTCTAGGTCTACTGTTAGTTCTAGTTTTATAGTTGCATCAGTGCTAGGTTGTTGTATATTTATGGAACTAAATGTAGAACTAATACTAGAACTAGAATTAGAGTTTAGACGTCTTAAGAGACATATGGCTAAATCCGAATGTTTCTAGTTCTAAGTGTAGTGTTAGTTCTAGTTTTACTCAGGCCTGCGATCAAAAACCTTTTTTGAAACTGAAAGGCGATCTTCATTGATTTTTGGGTGCTGAATCTGGGAAAAATAATGAAAAATTTTCATCACCCTTAGTTTTTTTCGCAAATATAACTTATTTTTGGATGTCTCACAAATTTTAAGTTGATAATCAGCATTACGCGTTATTCATACAATAATTATTACGTCTGATTGATTATAATCAATGTCAAACAGTCTCTGACTTATTCCTAGTATAAGCTATACGCGTTGAATTGCACGGTATAGCTATCCTGCGCCGTATACCGTTACTTATAGCGGTATAAACTGTTTTGTAAGATCGGCCCTAACTCTGCCAATTAATTCTGCCAGATTTTTATCAAATTCCCTTTTTGATAGGGTAAAAAAAATACCGTTTTTTACCATTGAATATGGAGAAACGGTAATTCAATTTTTGACCAGCCTGTATACGATACTTTAATACAACAAATAACAATCTGTTTGACAACATTTCAAGAGTAATCGTGCCAATTTCGAGCTTTTTTGAATGAACATCTCTACATCCGGTAGACCGGATGTGGCGGCCATCTTGAAAGTATTTTAGATCAAAGGCTTCGAATGAACAACCCATGTTATCAGAATTTCAAACCGCTACGAATAGTGGTACCTAAAAAAGTTCTAACCAACCAGTTACGTGAGACACCTGTATAACTCCTCTATAAAACAATTTAGATAGGAATTTGCGGTCATGTAATTACACAAAAAAATGTGAAGTAATATATGTCTAATGTTTTGCACAAAATTTTATAGTAATAAATTAGGACTTTAAAGAAGAATATCTTCTTTAAAGTCCTAATTTATATGACAAGAAAATGAGTATGAATTTAATTAAAGTACTGCTTCCGTAGTACTACTTCCAGTTGACGAATTTAATTCAAATTTTGACACAACATTGTCCTTTTGGTCTTATAATCATATGCCAAGTTTCATAAAGCTAGCTAATTGCTGACAGCAAAATAATATTTTCGATCGGGTTTTCATGCCGCTCGGACCACTGTGCGACACCAACTAGAACTAACACTAGCACTACACAAGACCTAGAACTAGAATCTTTCGGGTTAAGCCAAGCGGTTTTTGAAAAAATGTTTGACGTTTCGGATGCCATGTTGCAACCTTCTTCAGAAACAAGTTCGAAGTTCGAAACATTTTTTCAAAAAACGCACGACATAACCCGAAAGATTCTAGTTCTAGGTCTAGTGTTAGTTCTTGTGATAGTGCTAGTGTTAGTTCTAGTTTTAGTTTAATTAATATCGGCCGTGAAAGTGTTCGTACTTATATCATGTTAGTTGTCTAAATGTTGCAGGCGTGATTCAATCCACAAAAAACTGGCTGCAAAAAGGATGAATTTAAGTTTAAAGACCAGTTTAAAAGCACAAATACTTTACATGTTTTTTCTCCTTATTACAAACACTCGTAAAATGGATTTCGATTACAATTCTTTATTCTATTTTATTTTGTTTGTCAGGGTAATAAACGTTGCATAATGCCCGGGACATTGCGAAAGGTCAGTTATGATAACTAAGATTAATGACCTCCAAGTTAGAAATATTATTTTTCAAGACTATTAGTTCATCAAACCAGTGCTCGTTAACGTTTTGCGATTGAGTTAAAAAATTACAACTGCTAAAACAGTTTTTCATTGGTAAATAGATGAATAAATCGAAATTGGCATCTAAATTGAAATCAAATTAAAAAAAAACTAAAGTAACGACTCGGAGTGGCTTCGGTTGCTAAATTAAAAATATGTATTATATCATAGTTTGTAGATATACATAGGCATTCAATAAGTTGACATTCGCTGTGTTTTTTTGTATGTTTATGAAGTATGTGTAGGTTTTTTCATGAGTTTCTTCTTTAATCGGTTCTTCTAATCTCTTCTAACCGATTCTCTAAAATTTCCATGTCGTCACCTTGATCATCGCCGGCAATAAGTCAACCGTTACAAAATTATAATGATGTCATCTCCCATTTTCTCTTTCTATCATTGTATTTCTCGTGATTCGAACCGTTTCGGATAACTTCATATGATGAAAACGAACATAAAACTGATAAGGAAATTATTTATTTTACTTCACCATTACAAATGTTTGTAGCCTATTCACAAAAATTTATATAAAAATTCATATCAACGATAATGTTGCAATATTAATGAAACAATTCAAATTTAAAACTCTTTCTGTGAGTAACTTTTATTTTTTAGTTCACTTGGTTTATCGATTAGACCATTGTGTGCTAAAACAATTCACAAATTACGATCAATTATAAATTGTTACGAAACTAAACGCGTTGATTCATAACACTACGCACTTCATTACGTTACATTTTTAAAATGGTTATCAAAAATAAAAGAATCGCAATGTTTGCGACAATAATGTCGTTGTGTTATTTAGTAACTTTGACCGAAGGAGCAGAAGAAGGTAATTATTATTATACATTATTAATACGAAGTGATTATGTTACTTGAAGTAATCTTGTTTGCTGATGTTATAGAACAGGATCTTTCAGCTGCTGATTGCGATTGGATACGAATAGAGTCTAAAGAGATACCCTTTGATATGAATTTATATTGTAATCGTTACTGTAAATTTATCCGTGGCAAGTGGGGTACATGCTTAAAAGGTATTTGTATTTGTAGATATAAGTATGAACCTTATAAATCTATTACTATATGATTAAGTAAGATTAAAATAAAGATAAAATTCTCATCGTTGACAAACGTTATATTTTATTTAATGGAAGAAGTTTACAACAGGTAAGAAGGCTTTTCACACTGCAACGTCCCCTAACATTTATAATTTCAATTTTAAATGAGTCTTTACCAGGGAAATTGTCAATGTATGGGCACAATACTTTCAGAAGCTCTTTGATGAAACGGATTACATCGAAGCAATGGAGGTAGTGCTGGCGAGGATATAAAAGACATCATGAGCACTGAGGAACCTTCCGTAGAAGAAATTCGGGGGCGATTAAAAAACCGAAACACAACAAAGGCCTGGGAATCAACGAAATCTCGGCAAAATTAATACAAGCCAGAGGAGAGGACCTGTGCCATACATGAATGGTTTTAAAATATGGAAGACAGAAAAGTTTCCTTCAGAATGGATTTGCTCGTACTATAGAGATACAACCTTGCTGGTGGTTATATACAAAGTCTTCATACAGATAATCCAGATAATTTAGAAAAACTTATTCGTGTAACAACAATCTTGTATAATTCTTCATTTGAGTATTATAAATTATTGACGCAAGAATGGATTTTTTGATACAAAAAGTTGATATTCTTCGATGCTAAGACATACTTCATTCGATAATATTTCTATTCTAGAGTATCTTGTACTTATTTCTAAGAAATACATTCAAGAATAAATTTTTCTTGAGAGTCAAGAATAATTTCCCTTAGTGTAGGCGGCTAACTTCAGTGGCAGAAACGATCATAGTCGAGTACCACGCTGGTTTTAGAAGTAATCGATCCACCGTTGGCCAGATATCGATTATACAATCGCTTGCGAAATATGCACACATAAAAAGGATTACTAGCGATTAATGTAACAAATCTTCATCTAAGAAGGACGTATATGCATCGCAATCTTCTATAAAATACACTGTATATTCACTTATTAAGATTATACAGTAAGGCCTCAACATTCGTGAGGGTCAGGTTGTGAAAATACGTCGCGAATGTTGAATCCGCGAATATTGAAACACTGCACTGGATGTTATGAGGGATAAGCTACTTCTGTGTTATTTTAAAAATGTGAATATAGCAACAACACTATCATGTTCTTCCACAGTTTCACCAAAAATTAAAATATCATCTATGTATATAAATTCATTAGGTATACCATCAAACATTTCTTCATTATATTTTTGGAAGACTTCAGCTGAAACTTTTAAACAAAATAGCAATCTTTTCAAACAGCAATTTCCATACATTGTACTAAATGTGCAATATTTTTTACTATTTTTATCTAAAGGAATTTGCCAAAAACCATCTTTCAAATCCAAGACTGAATAATAGTCTAAATTTTAAATCATTTAATGTAGGAATAGCATAATAATCATTTAATAATACTTTATGAAGCACCATGTATAACTTTTGTAATTGGTCTGGTCAAATTTCAATAAAGTAAGAACAAAAAAAAACTGTGTTGAAAGTGAATGGTAATGATTTCCAAGTGATTTATCATGCCTATCACTGGATTCAGAGAGATAATATACAAATAGTTTCATGACAATAAAGGAACATTTAGATTAAAAATCATTATATAAAATCTTCCTTAAATATACTTTATATTTCTGTCATATTATATTTAATATATTTCAATCTTTAGAACACTTAATTTCATCGGAACCATCAGCACATTCTTCAACTCCATTACAATCAGCAGTTTTAGCCACACAAGCTCCATATTTACATTTAAAAAATGATGACGGACAATAAGTGGTTCTACACGTTTCTTCAATCTCATCCGATCCATCTTTACAATCTTTTCGACCATCACATATCAAGAAGACATCAATGCATTCATTGCTTGAACATCGAAATTTCATTGGACTAAAATTTTAAAAGTTATCACTAACTTAGTAAAATAAAAAAATATTTACCCGCAAGACGACGTGGCCACACAAAATTCTCCATTTTCATCGGAATTATCGGCACAATCTTTAACACCATCACATATTTTATTTCTGTTTATGCAAGGACCATAAGTGCATTGAAATGAGTAATATGGACACCTAAAAAGATTGTTAATATTGTTTATGACGAAATAATTTTTTTTGTGGTGAAATTAACTGAATTTTTGAGCATTTTTCTGCGGTTTCATCTGAACCATCAATACAATCAACTAAGCCATCACAAAGTTTGTCATAAAAAATTTGCCTTCCATCGTTACAGAATGACGATTTAATCTTTAAACCATGAATTGTTGATAAATCTAAGCCTAAAATAAAAATAAATTATTTAATAAAGAGGTGGGTTCTTTTACTTATTTTAGATTTCTAGTCAAATGTTCTTACATGAAAATAAAACAAATAAAATCATTAATTTTCTGTAATAAAAATCGTTAACCATTTCAACTATACGTATTAAGCTAACACTTGGTTTAACAGTGAAAACTGCTTTTAAATCTTGAGTGTTTGAGCGATTTTTGTATAACATGAGAGTAGCGCTTACTTGTTATCCTTTTTTTTTGGTGTAATGTCGTCATTTTATTACGATTAATGTGGATAATAATGTTGTATTACTGCGGGGGAATTTCCAACTATTTTTTTCTTACTTCATTGATTGGAATTTCCAATAAGTATGAGTATTTTAATAAATTATTTAAATCTTAATTATCATTTTCAAATTAATTATCAAATTGTAATACGATTTTATTTTATAATATTTAGTTCTAAATAAATTAAGAAATGAAATGGTAGCGCAAACATTCTTAGTACATTTTCTAAGTCGTAAACAAAAATCCGAACAAAAAAATTTATCTACGAGGGATGTCTGGTTGCAAAGGTACTTACGTTTCCGCGGCACACCGCTTACGTCATTCCGATCAGATTGAAACTTGCACGCATTTTAGATGCGCATGTATTGTATAGGTAGTTATTGTTCTTGACTTAGGTTGGGTATAACATGCGCAGTGACACCCAGTAATGTTGAAAAAAACTGAAATTCAAGAACGAAATACTGAAGACTTACTTATTATGAGTCAAAACCAATTTAGCGTTTGGTGCGAAAAAAACCATCAACAACGAAAACGGATGAGAATCAGTTAATATGGGAAATTGTTCTACTAACGGGCATTCCGAAAAACTCTGTTCATGAAATCGTATCTGAATTAGGCTATCAATAAGTTTTCGTAAGATGGGTACCAAAAATGTTGACTGAAAAAATACAGAATTTAGCAGTCTGCAAAAAAGACAATGGCGACTGTGTTCTGGGATACGCAGGGAATTTTGCTCATAGAGATTTACCACCGCAAACGACAATCAACAGCGATATTTATTTTCAAACTCTCGAACTACACCAAGTCAATCGACAGAAACAAAGAGGAAGGGGGATGAAAGAAGTCAAGTTGTTTCATAACAAGTTCAAATCAGACGAAGGCCAGGCTTCAAAAATACAACTGGGAAGTGTTTGTTCATCCGCTCCACACTCCAGACCTGGCTCCTTCTAATCCTTTCTGCTCGTAAGAACTTGGAGGCTTCGATCACTGATCTCTTCTGTTGTGGATGGTGATGAGATTAAGCTTATAAATAAGTGTTCGTTTGCATGTTCTTCCTCATAGCTACACTTACAGCCTACAGTTACCACAGACTCTTCTTTAACGCTTCTTCTTCAAACATCACAATGTAAAAATTGGCGATTACCGGTGACGAAAGTGATAGCTCATGATCTATCCCTTCCCATTGATCGCAGAATATTCCCTAGATGTGTGGAATCTCTGACTTTCTTGGCAAGGTTCTTGGCCAACTGGTACGTTGGAGAGTTTATGGCACAGACAATAGTGGGAGGTCTGGTTTGTGGATTTTAGGTCATTCATAAAGGTTACCTAAACAGAATACCTTTAAGTATCCTATTGGTACTAGGGCCTGTACAAACATACTTCACTACTATACTGCTGGAATTTCTGCAAATGTCTGCTCGTCATCTTGTTGTCATATTCTTTCCCGTCCATAATTCTTTCATAAATTGTTAGGTTTGATTTCGGTGGTTTCGCTGATTTAAGTAGTCTCGCTGCCTGTTGGAATTCTTCTGCTTTCACTGCATGTATTCTGCGAATAGCTGCTTCCGCTAATAGCATAAATCCTTTTCGGAACACTGTAGATTCTTCTCCTGTTAATGGGACATTTAATCGATTAATGACGGCCATTTCAATTCTTGGAAAATATTTATAAAATTACAACTAATTATTAATAAAACCATCTAATTTTCAACAATGAAATCACTTTTTGAAAATCACTTTTAGTTTTTGAGATACAAAGTTTCAAACTAAATCGAAATGTATAGAAATTTGTATTGTTTTTTAGATTAGATTTAAATAAGCCAGGGAAACTGATAGATTGGGAAATCTTTATGAAATTTCCACCAATTATCAATAAAACCATCCCGCTATCAATAGAGGACTCTGATTTGAAAAATCCCGTTTAGTTCTTAAGATATCACGTTTTAAACTCAACCGAAATTTCTATTAGTTTTTAAAACTTGGTATTAACTTTAAAACTTTGTAAGAAATCGATTTCTTGGAAATTATTTATAAAATTGCCACCAACTATCAATAAAAGCATCTAATTTTCAATGATGAAATGAGTATTGCAAAATCACTTTTAGTTTTTGAGATACAAAGTTCCAAACTAAATCGAAATTTATAGAAATTTGTATTGATTTTTAGATTAAATTTAATTAACTCAGGAAAACTGATTGATTGGAAAATGTTTATGAAATTTCCATCAATTATCAATAAAACCATCCCACTTTCAATGGAGGACTCTGATTTGAATAATCCCTTTTAGTTCTAAAGATATCACGTTTTAAACTCAACTGAAATTTCTATTAGCTTTTAAAACTTGGTATTAACTTTAAAGCTTTGTGAGAAATTGATTTCTTGGAAATTGTTTATAAAATTACCTCCAATTATCAATAAAAGCATTTATTTTTCAATGCTAAAATTAGTTTTGCAAAATCACTTTTAGTTTTTGAGATACAAAGTTTCAAACTAAATCGAAATTTATAGAAATTTGTATTGATTTTTAGATTAAATTTAATTAACCCAGGAAAACTGATTGATTGGAAAATGTTTATGAAATTTCCATCAATTATCAATAAAAGCATCCCGTTTTCAATGGAGAAGTCTGATTTGAAAAATCCCTTTTAGTTCTAGCGATATCACTTTTTAAACTCAACCGAAATTTCTATTAGCTTTTAAAACTTGGTATTAACTTTAAATCTTTGTGAGTAATCGGTTTCTTCTAAAATATTTATAAAATTACCGCCAATTATCAATAAAAGCATCTAATTGTTAATGATGAAATCAGTTTTGCAAAATCACTTTTAGTTTTTGAGATACTAAATTTCAAACTAAATCGAAATTTATAGAAATTTTTATTGATTTTTAGATTAAATTTAATTAACCCAGGAAAACTGATTGATTGGAAAATGTTTATGAAGTTTCCATCAATTATCAATAAAACCATCCCGCTTTCAATGGAGGACTCTGATTTGAATAATCCCTTTTAGTTCTTAAGATATCACGTTTTAAACTCAACCGAAATTTCTATTAGCTTTTAAAACTTGGTATTAACTTTAAAGTTTTGAGAAATATCGATTTCTTGGAAATTATTTATAAAATTGCCACCAATTATCAATAAAAACATCTAATTTTCAATGATGAAATCAGTTTTGCAAAATCACTTTCAGTTATTGCGATACAAAGTTTTAAACTAAATCGAAATTTATAGAAATTTTTATTGATTTTTAGATTAAATTTAATTAACTAAGGAAAACTGATTGATTGGAAAATCTTTATGAAATTTCCATCAATTATCAATAAAACCATCCCGCTATTAATGGAAGAGTCTGATTTGAAAAATCCGTTTTAGTTCTTAAGATATCACGTTTTAAACTCAACCGAAATTTCTATTTCCTTTTAAAACTTGGTATTTACTTTAAAGCTTTGTGAGAAATCGATTTCTTGGAAATTATTTATAAAATTATAACCAATTATTAATAAAAGCATCTAATTTTCAATGATGAAATCTTATGATGATGAAAATTTTTACTCTTTCTTAAATTAATACATATATCGGCATTAAGAAAATTTTTATGGATAAACTGTATTTGTAAAGAGCTTTTAAAACAATTAATAAAATAATATTTTATGATCTATTGACTCTTGTAATCACACTGTGTGCGATTCGGTTCGTTGTTACAATTTGTGCTTTTTAAACGAAACCTCTCCTTAGGCGATTCTTCCTGATTGAATTTGAAAGATAAAAAGCAAAAATTGCTCCCAGCAGCTGTAAAAATGAAGCTAGTGTCAATAAAATATTACAATTTTTCTTCTACCTTACCTCCACGACTGCGAGACTTATGAAAACGGTATCGCTAAGTATAAATATATCTTTTCCATTACTTGTATCGAAAATGTTATTTCCAAGAATCACAGTGGTTAGTACAATTTGACTTACGAAGATACTCAACAAGATAATCGCATACTACAATAAATAAGAAATTAATATAATGTGATGATAATAAGACAAGCTTCCTTACGGTCTTAAGGAAAAGCGTATTTTCTTTTATAGCTCCCCAACACCCGAAAAACGCTATAATAGAAATTAATGATCCAAGGACTATTATCACGTTTGATGTGTTTGAAATGAAATCTTCACTCACTTCCGGCATCGATTTCATAGTTTCTGGGATATCTTTTTTTGCAATTACACCGAAAATTATCATTGATGACCCGCCCAACTTCAACAAAAGAAAATTTAAATAAATTTCGTCTTGGAAATGAAAATGAGAAAATAAATTAGAAACTTACCATGTAGATTACGTTAAAGATAAACATAATGTAATTAACTAATAAGCTAAATACGCACTTCATTTTTATTATTATTAAGTTTTTTGGTAGGAATGAATAACAAAAAAATCGCGAATGAACCAAATAGTAACCTTATTATTATTAACGAATTTAAAAAATTAAACTGCAATATATACAAAAATAGTTGGAGTAATAAGCATGTTCCATTATCGTAAGCATTACTAATACAATAAAATTTGTCAACTATTGTAACAAGTTGATTAGAAATTACGATTATTATTTCTTTTAAATAAATAAAAAGAAAGAAAAATGATCAAAGTATGATCTCAAGAAGCTTGGGAACACAGCAGTAAAATACCAAGTCAAGAAAAATAGGATACATATAGATTGAGGAAAAGTCAATGACACAAAAACAAATAAATACACTTACCAAAACAGAAAAGTAAATAAAAAATAAATCATGTATAAAGGAGGAAATCTTGATGCTCATAGAAGAAAGAAGGAAGCGAAAGAATAATACACCAGCACACAAAAGCATAAAGAAACACATACAAAAAAAAATCGTGAATCCAAACGATATGAGTTAGATGAGAAATACCATAAAATCGAGGTTTAAGATAAATTTGATGTGTTCAATGTGCAGAAGATGAGAGATGTTACGAAGAGACAACTGTGGGAAAACTAAATAAAAGAGACTGAACAACTGAGATTTCGTTCATTATCTTGCTTTATTTCGAGTATTTGCTCGTTGTTTTTCTTGTTTTCTTTCATTATGTTATTTTTTTTATATTCATTGAATAACAAACTTTACAAACTACTCTTATAATGGCTGCGTACATACTGATTGTCTTTGTTTTTCTGGTTCTGTCTATCGCCCTCTATGCTTAACCCTCTACAACTATATCCGTTGCCTAGTGACTTAACGCATCTAACATCTCTCTTCCTTAATAATACTAGACTAAGGCCCACTTTTACCACCTCTTGATAAATTTAACCGATAGTTAATTACCATGGTTACAGCGGTTTTAAGCGCTCTCATTGGCTAAAACCGCCAATTTATCAATCGGATAAATTTATCAAGAGGTGGTAAAAGTGGGCCTAAGTAATGTAACTAAAACTAAATTAATCATATTGTATATCCATATTGCGAGGACTATAATTAAGAAATAGATGAAGGTAATAGAAACTTCTTTCTTGCTAAATAATTTTAATTTCATTTACTCAAAAAACCGGTTTTCGGCCATATTCAGGCCATCATCAGTTTGAATCTACAAAAACAATATAAAAATGTAAATACATAATCGAATTAAATTACATTTTAAATTCTTTTCTTTACAACATTAAATAAAAATAATAAAATATAACTTACAGTCAAAGTTTTAAAAAAGATCGCCGAAACATGACAATTGAGTTGTTTGGTTTCAAATACCCTTAAGTCCAAATTTTTCGATTTTGAGAAAACGGCAAAAAGTATTTTGGGATGATTTTGGCGTTATTAATTCAAACATAATTTATTTGTTATTAGAAGACTTACTGAAGTTTCAAAAATTCTATAACCACGTCTTTTGAAATAGATATAAAAATCACAAAGTGGATTTAAAAATGGTGTTTGGTTGCGTTTGCTACCAAACTGTGGATTAAGGCTCATTTGAATCTGAACAAAATGGATTAGGCATGAATTGAAAGTGAATCAAATCTCTTTGTAGCTAATAACAGGAAACTTTATTTTTTGAAAGATATGTTATTTAAAAACTGTACTTAAAAAACTCTTAAACTGTAACATCAGGTATATTTTCGGTTGATTCACATAAACTAGGCTCTTCGTCCCCACTGTCTTCTCGAGAATCGCCAGGAATATTATTGTTCTGAAATTTTCCCAACACATCTCTATAATAAGCCAAATTTTCTACCGCTCTCCAGTTCTTTCCATAATGTTTGCTTAACAAGTTATTTACATCTCTCATTTTCAGATCTTTTGGTTTCACTCCGGTAGGAATTTCTTTTGGCTGGATATTCATGGCGGTTTGGTTTTTCCTAAAAACTCCTTTGAATGTTCCGGTGTCTGAACGGTAAGATAACTCACCTCGAATGGTGATGGCGTTTTTTTTGCCACGTCGTATAATATATCTCTTACATTGGTTAAATTTAAAATGCCACTGAGACACTGGCTTAAGGATTTTTTGACCAGCACCTTTCCAATCACTATCGGGAACATCTTTTCCAAGTTTAAAAACAGTAGCATGTTCTTGAAAAATATTTATGTATTCTTCTGGCATTACAATTTCTTCTTTCTTTCTTATTTCTTTTTCGATAGTAGCAAAAACCCTGTCAGGTGGAATGTAGGAGTGCCCAACCACTGGGAATACCAGCTCGATTGTTCTAATAGAACTGCTTATACTGCTTAGCCATTTGAACAACATACATATCATAATGGTATTTTTATTTTGGCCGCCGCATCCATCGGCGACCAATCGAAGTGTATCTATTCCCTCTAAGTTACTATTGTTTAAAGTGTAAAAGACGCAGCTTGCGATTTCGTTGGCGCCCTTGGCATGTTCATCTTCAGTCCACGTGAAAATTTTAACATTATCTTTTGTTAACGGAGCATGTGAGTGCCCCACTACAGTAGTGAAGTTGTAAATGTACAGTTGTCTACTATAATAGGTACTTTGATCTGGTATTTTGGGCAATACCAAGTTTTTCTGACAATCAAAAGAAATTGTCAGAAGGCCGTCCCGTTTCTCTTTTAGCTGTTCAAAAAATGCTTTGGCCCTGAGCTTATGTATTCGGTATTCTGTAGTTAGCACTGTTTTAATAGATGCAACCTTTTCATTTTTAATTTTTTCCTGGAGTTCAAGACACTTAGAGCAAACATCGGTGCTAGGAGATCCAAAGCCGATGTTGAAGGAAGTATTAAAAATAAATCGAAAGTAGCTCTCTTTAATATCTAAAGGCAGTCTATTTGATTTGAATTTTTAAGGGATTCGCGCGTTTTTAATACAAATCATTGAGTATTTTATAGAAAACAACTTTTTCTAACAGATGGCGTATATATCTCATTTTTGCCCAAAAATGGATTTAGGGGATATTGAAACCAGACAACTCAATTGCACCACGTAAAAAATTATTATTTTTGAGCACATCAACACAAGCCAAAAAAGATGAAACAACGATAGGCCTAACGATATGATAAAATGTAATTTAATTCGATTATGTATTTACATTTTTATATTGTTTTTGTACATTCAAACTGATGTTGGCCTGAATATGACGGAAATCGGTTTTTTGAGTAAATGAAATTAAAATTATTTAGCGAGAAAGAAGTTTCTATTACCTTCATCTATTTCTAAATTAATCATGGTAATAACAAATGCACAATGATTTAATAGAAATAATAATCTTTGCGCGGGTTTGTTATCGTCAACACTAAACATACAAATTAACATTGAGGTTATGAGTGTATTAATTGAAGACGCAAAAGGGTTTAAACAAAATTTACAACAATGACGCGAAACTGTCGAATTATCAATAACCTAACCTTCAAATTCAAAATTGCCTGTGTGTGAACCTTCCTCGCATTCAACCAATCACGTGCAAGGTCAATCTGGTGACAAACTTAAAATACTCCTCCTGGTTTAAAAACAGAGTATAGTACAAAAATGAGCACATATAAATAAAAGTAAGCCGATTTATTCGAAAATTGGTATTAGAGACTACCTTTTACTTTTGAACAACTATTCCTAGTAACTTATTTTCTTACCATCTGAAATAAAAGCACTTTACTCTTGTACCATTTGAAGTTTTTTCAATTTTCTGAACTAGCAACATTTTTTACCAAAATTAACTTTTTTCGATAAAATTAAAAATAAAAAAGTTTTTCCTATGCAACACCTTTTCCGTGGACATACTGTATATGCCTACGCATAATATTATGATAGTCCATTAGAAATTATTTTCATCCATAACCTTCTTTCCCAGCATTTTTGGTTTTCCAGATATCAGTTGGAAAGAAATTGTTTATGGATTATGAGTTATCATCTAAATATTGTTTTTAATCTTAAAACAGGAGAGGACAACAGGAGGATGACAGCGGAAATAGCCGATGGAAGAGAAAAAACAATTGGTGGTGACGTATCAAAAGAAATTCTAAAGAAAACTACAAACAATAGTTTCGTTTACGTCGAAACTGCTGACATCATTCTATTTCCCTTGTGTTATGTTATTTTGCATCTCTCCGAATAGGTAGCTTTAAAGATTTCTTTATTCAGTTTTATTCTTAGCTGTGTAGCGATTTCCAGGTATTTTTAGGTCGTTTTGGAATTGTAAATAAGCAGCTATTTGGCTTATCGTGTAGCTTTGGCTTGATTTAATGCAGCACTGTTTTTAATCTAACTGATTCTATGTGAATAAGGGAAGCATCAGGAGAAAAAGGACAAACAATAAAGAAATAACACAAAAACACTACTTTATTTTTTCCGAAACCAATTCAAATCTCTTTTACAAACATTATTTTGAATTTCCTGGAAATCTTTTCCTTTAGTTTCGGGTAAAAACCAATAAACAAAACAAGCACCAAAAAAGCAAATTCCCGAAAAAAGATACAAAACAGTATGAATTCCAAGTAAATTACTTACAGGTTTAAATAATTTTGCAGTTAAAAAGCCAATACATGCTCCGTAAGTGCACAAAAAAGCAACGGCGATTTCTTTAATGTTAACAGGAAATAATTCACCGATTAAAACGTAAGGTAGCGGAAGTATTCCCATTGGGTAAAAAACCCAAAAGAGTGATAAACCAACAGTAGGAACCCAAAAAAATGAATTTTCGATATTATTTATGTTATCTATATGAAGGAAATAAGATGCTGTGATGAACAAAGCGAAGAAACAGCCAAATGCTGAAGTGATTAAAAGAGGTTTTCTCCCCAATTTATCGACGAGAACGCTAGAAATAAATACTAAAACGAAAATTGATTATATTAAGTAAATATATTAAAAAATAAATATTTCGTTACCTGTTGGAAGTTGAATACACCCAATAATAATACTAACAATTTCTGATTTAATCCCACTTTTAGATAAATCAATAATTTTTTGTAAATAACTTTCTAAGGCTACAGAACCAGATAATTGTTGCAAACTTTTAATTCCCATCATCAAAAATATTGGATATCGATACTTTTCATTTCCAATTAACTCTTTTATCGACCCTTTATTTTCCATATCTTTTCGAACGATTTCTTGAATGCTACATAATTTTTCCTCGATATCTTCACAAGAAACATTTTCTCCTGAAAGTTGTTTCAAACATTTTTTAGCTTCTTCAACTTTGTGAGTTTTAACAAGAAAAAACGGCGTTTCTGGTATGAAACAAAACATTAAAACTGTTATCATCGGAATACAACCCGAGAAAATTCCCAAAAATCGATACGAAACGTTCGGTCCAATTACGAGTCCCATCAAACTTCCAGAAACTTTCAACAACATTAAATAAGTGGATAATTTTCCTCTTATATCGTTTTCGGCTATTTCACCGATGTAAATTGTCGATGCCAATCCGGCTATTGACATACTTAATCCTCCGATTAATCGGGATAATAAAAGTAGCCAAAAAGAATTTCCAAAAGAAATAGCGAAAAAGTGAAGGGATGTTATTGTGGATGTCATTAAAATGTTGGGTTTTCGCCCGAGTTTATCGATGGTGTAGCCTCCTAAAATACATCCGGGAATGCTGGATAATAAGGTTATTGAAACTAACCAAGATCCTTCTTCCTAAAAATAACAAAGTTTGGATTTATACATTTTAATTTCTACAATTATGGATTAAAATAATTTAAATTTTACGTCTGTTATTGGATATCCAATTGGAGAATTTTCAGATTGTAGTTTTGGTAAAGTGGGTGAAGGCCAAGTAAATGATAAACCAACGCTAATATAGGTTGAAGTAGCTAAATAAATAAAATACTGTATGTGAAGATAATATATTAATTTAAAAATGTACAAACCTGCGATTGCTGCTATATATTGCATGTATCTTGAGTTTTTAATCGAATTTCTTATCAGATCCATAGATTGTTGTGTTTGATTAAAAAACAATATAAATAATAAGAAAGTTAAAAAAATAACGAACTTTCACTAATTTCTTAACACAGTTTCTTTACTGTTGTAAATAAAATAATAAACGAATATAATGATGTACACAATCAAAAATGGACTACAGATTGATATGTGTACTTTGAAAATGGGAACAATTTGAGAGTGATTGTATTATTTATCATTGATAACTTACTCAATTGGACACCAATTCATTTAATCAATGAACAAGATGTTTTAATTTTAACCGAATTTAACCCGACAATGCCACATCTTTTATTTCTAATAATAATAAATAAAAAAAAACTTGCGTTTTCTTATTAAGCGTCAACTATATGAAGGAATGTTAATGGGTAAAATTGATAAAGAATAGCGAAATAGCGATATCAAAAAGAACTGTTTTTACCAATTTTATAGAAACAGCTAAAAATAAAGTAAGTAATCTGACACAACTACAAAAGTAATGATGAACTGTAATGCAATAAATATTTATTTTGCCAATATAGCGGTTGGTAAAATGATTAATCTACAAGTATACAACACTATTAAAACAAATATCGACTTAAAGAGATCATTTGCGTTTTATCTGACTGATCCGGGTGAAGTAAAATCAGTCCTAATGTCTTTAAATAATACGTCTGCAGTTGGTTACGACGAAGTTCCGATCTTTGTTCTAAAAGCTTGCGTCGATTATCTTGCTGAACCTTTAAGTAGTATTATAAACCTGTCATTTGGTTCTGCAACTTATCCACACCACCTGAAAAGAACCTTAGTAAGGCCATGGTATAAAAAAGGTGACAAATCAGACTTTTCGAATTATAGGCCAATCGCTTTAATATCTAATGTTGCGAAGTTTTTTGAAAAGATAGTACTAAGAGACTTAAAAGCTACATTTACAAAAATCAAATACTGAATGAGGCACAAAATGGCTATATTGAGGGTAGATCTACAACCAGAGCAATTTTTCAGTTGATGGAAAAAATTCTAACTGGAATAAACAATAACGAACTTACCGGTTGCATAATGATGGATCTAACCAAAGCGTTTGATAGTGTTAATCACGACACCCTTTTAATGAAGATGGAAGCAATGGGAATTCGAGGTATTGCGCTAGAGTGGTTCAGATCTTACCTCTCAGACAGGGAACAGTGTGTTATCGCTTATGATGAAAAGGGAAATGAACTAGCATCAAAATGGGTGCAGGTTCTACAAGGAGTGCCAAGGATCGATATTGGGACCGTTTCTATTTTTTTTATACATCAATGATCTTCCTGGAGTAATTGGTGATTTATTAATATTATTCGTGGATGACTCTACTACAGTATCAACTGCGAAAACGGAACAACAATTGTCAGCACAAATACAAAATAACCTCAGTTTACTGTATAACTGGTTTTCTAACAACAACCTTCAACTTAATATTGAAAAAACGAACATTATGATGATTGGGAGTGCTGCAGCGACCAACTGTGACATCAGTTTGCAATTCAATGGCAAACAACTTCCCCGTGCAGAAGATGTGATGTTCTTGGGTGTTAAAATTGATGTGAATCTTTCATGGAAACAGCATATTAACGATTTAGCTATCAAGATAAATCGGGCGTGCTATGCGTTGAGAACTATTTCGCGGGTAGTTTCAGTGCAAGCGGCTACAAGTGCGTATTACGCATGCGTTGAGCCGCGACTGCGGTATGGGGTCATACGGTTGATTTAAGTCGTATCTTCATAGCGCAGAAGAAATGTTTGAGAGCAGTTTTCGGACTTCAAATGAGGAAATCGTGTAAACCCTTTTTTAAATATTATAAAATTCTGACAATGAAGTCGTTAGTGATTCTTGAATCCGCAATGTTTATAAAAAATAACTATACTTTCTTTAAAAAATATGAACAACAACACTCTTATGTTACACGTGGAGTAGAAAATGTCTATTTACTACCACAAAAAACGCAGTATACTAAGATACAAAAAAGTACTGTTCATTTTTGTGTTAAGGTCTTCAACCATCTACCTAATAGTTTGAAAATAAAGCCATCCACGGGATTCAAATGCTATCTCAAACAATATCTTTTAGAACGAAACTTGTATTCGATAAATGATTTTTTTTCTGGAACCATTACAGTAGATAAAATCAGACTGTTTGAATATTATTTGACGTTTTCTGTGCATTTTTGTAAAGATGGAAATAAAGCTTATTATTATTATTATTTTTCCAATATATTGATAATGTATCACATTTGATTAATTAAATGAATTCAAACAGTTAATGTACGTCAACCTTTTACAGTTGGGCTTTTTGCAGCGAATCTTGCTTTCTATGTAGTAAGTCCTCTTTTCTCCCTCCTTGCAATTCACGCTTTTCACATTCCTTTTTGACGCCATTATCATATGTATCTCACAAGTTCACTCAATCCAACTTCTATTCCAACTGAATCAAAAACAGCTGCACCTAATTTTATACATCCAACAGTAATGCACGTTTTAACTTGCACAGACACGCACAATTCCGCGCAGCAGTGTTTGACAAATTATAATAACTATAATATATAACTTATATAACTGTTAGTGTTTTCACAAGCCGAAAATGAAATAAATTAATAATTAATGAATAAATTATGAACCACTATTTAAATAAAAGTTACTTAATCCCTTGGGACCTGTAAATAACTTTTTAAAGTATTTATTAAATAAATTAATAATTACATACATTTTATTATAAATTAATATTAACGATTTTTCGCTGCTTAACCTTCATAAAATTTGACAATGTTTGACATATAACCGCCATTACTAACCTAACATACATTTAAATGTATGTGGTGAAATAATCTAAGTCGTACGTCCATATCTTGATTCATACCAGTTTTAAACGACAAGTCACTGCCAGCTTTCGTGGTTTCTACTATATCTAAATGCTCAAGCCGATTGAAATTATTTTAAGAAAATTATGAGTATCTAAAATCTCCCCGGTCCTGAGAGGCCCGGTTTATGCATCCTAGAGTTAAGAAAATCTCTTCAGTTTTACCTCTAGTACCTACCCTTTTAGTCTGCTCCGTATGTTATAAGTCACCCTGTATACAGAATGTCCCACGTAAGCAACAGAGTACATAAATGGCATAAGGAACCGAGATACGCAGTTCTTCCTTAGACAAAAGTTGTAGGAAATTTAGCACACTATAAACGGAACATATTTTTATACATACAGGATGTTCCATAACGACGTACTGAAATAAACATATGTTATTTTAAATGGAATGATATAGTTTTTATTGCGAATTCTGATTCTACACACAAAACTAAGTTGACTTTGATAAGACATGTTGATACCTAGTACTTTTAGTTCGTGAGTTATTTTAATCTAGAAGCTTTTTTTAGCAATTAACACTATGCCTATGTAAATTTTAAAAGGAACACCCTATATTTGACTAGTTAATCAGATACAGAATTTAATTCTCTACAAATCTTCAGTACATGTCCGTATACCTATCAGTTGCAGTTTTTGAGATATTGTGGAATTAATCAATATCATGCAAAGTATGGCAGATCTTGTTCATTTTTTCATTAGTAGGCCGTGAAATACAACGATAAATAATTTTCAACCAAACTTTATTTATAAGTGTTCAAATATCTGCCATCTGTGCTTTATGCATAGATGAAGCCGATTTATGAATTCGGCTTGCACATTATCTAGTGTTTTAGCAGAGATATTTCTAAAGCTTTCCCTTATTCTATTCTTCATATATTCTTTCGTCGTTGGAATATTAGCGTACCACTTGGGTTTTGACATATCCCCAAAGGAAGACGTCGCGGGAAGTTAGATCTGGTAATCTTGCTAGCCACGGTATTGGACCTCCACGACCAATCGAATGTCTTCCGTATCCAATACTTAAAAAGTTTTGAAAAAAATCCCTGAAATAACGTGCAGGTGCCCCGTCGTGTTGAAATATCATTTTTTGTCTAGTTTCTAAATGTACATCTTCTAGCAACTCTGGAAACTGTTCCTCTAAAAAAGTTTTGCAAATTTGTCCCACCAGTATGCCTAATTATTTTACGATTAAATATTCCGCCCCAAACATTTAACGACCATACATTTTGATTATTCACGCGCCTTAGCCATAGAGGATTTTCGGTTGCATAATATGCATTATTATTATGTCGGTTTACTAACCCGTTACTTTTAAAAGTAGCTTCATCACTAAATAGAATTGATGATACGAAAAGGGGGTTTTCATTTATTTCATCTAAAGTTGTCGTACAGAAAGCTACTTTGTTAGCAAAATCTGTTGAATTTAGTTTATCAAGATAGTTGATGTTGAAAATAACATTGGTTACAGTTGTTAGCTATGGAATTTTTAAGGCAGATCTTCCCTGGACGCCTCATTTCATTGCGTGGAGATGTGGAGTAGCCTCCTCGGTCAGTGGACCCTGGACCTGTCACCTTGTGACTTTTTTTTATAAGGCTACTCACAAACCACTATAAACAAACCACGTACACTTGAAGCCCTAAGTGAAACAATAACACAAGAAATTCTTTAATTTTTGTAATGGCAACATTCAAGCTACACATTGAAAAAATAAAATTTGAGTTTCGTTGAAAAATGAGTGTGTAACTGTTATTTCAAATCATCCATAGCTCCCTGCCTACCTCTGTAGTTAACGATGACAAATTAAACGAATTTTTAAATGTCATATTTTTATTAATAGTCTAGTTGTTTATTGGTTAATGCTTGATAATGAATTACACAAAAGCCGAATTTTTGACCATGGTTTTTATTTTGGGACAATGTCAACAAAATACTCGTCTGCTCAAAGAGTAAAGATACTCAAATGCCCGACTTCCGAGCAGGCGATGTTTCAATAATGAACTGATATTGGAGATATTGGAAATGTCGACATACCTAAACGTCGAAAATCGTATATAGTTCGAGAAGAGAACAATATGAGTACACGACAAATCGCTAGAGCAACAGATATGAGTAAAAGCTCACTAAACTAGAGGCTTCACTAATTATAAGGCTTCACAACTACCACCAAGAATTTCATGGAGATGATTTTGTTGTAATTATTTATGCTCAAAGAGCAAGAACCTTTTTATGTTATTTTATTTTATTGTATATCTTGTTTATA